TACGATAAGTTACAGAGAAATAAAGAAATGGAAGCCATGGATAGATTGTTGGAACGATGTAGGGAGCTGGCATGTGATGACGAGGAAGGTGGAACACCGGACATGGAGCACAGGGATACGACGACCATAGAAGAGATCCAGGAGAACGACCTAGAGCAGATGACAGGAGACCTGACAGACAAGAATGGATCAAGGCCAGGGGACCATCTTATCGAGGAGCCACTAGTAGAGGCCATAGAAAGACTGCTGGAGAGCTGCAGGACATCAGGGGACCATAACGGCAAGGGCCACAGCACTGACCAGGAGTCATGATAGCAAATGTAAATATCTTTGTTTACTTTTACTGTTGTCATTTATTGAAGTTGTAAATAAAAATATGTAAATAGACTGACCATTCGCTACACTTTTTAGAGAAAAACTTGTAACCTTTTGGAAAATAAATTTTATATTATTATTATAATCATCACCACGACGTGGGTAAGTGTAAACACGTTTTTTTCCCTCTCCCAAAAAAACCTGGAAAATTGATCAAAAATAGCGCCAAAGTGATAATTTTTCAATATTAAAAACAAGCATTTTCGAAATAGTAAAGGGCAAGGTAAAAATCTGTATCAAAAAATGAGAAATTTTGAAAATTTGATCAATTAGTGTCTTAGAAAGTTGCAAACACGTGCTTTTACAAACGTGATAGTATGATGCACTAGCGCGCCATCTGTTATCAAAATTCAAAACTATTTTAAAGGCGTAAGATTCTTTTTGATATTAAACAATTTTTAAACGTGATAGTATTGTTAAGCCTTATTTTATTTTGCGATTTTATTTTTTTATATATTTTTTTTGTTCATGTTGGTAGGATTTGTGTGTGTGAAATTTATTTCCATTTTTCTTCTTTATCAGATTGTGAATGGCTGAAAACAACCTTCAAGAAAATATCAACTTGAATCCTACATTAACTTGGAGGCAGAATGGTCACTCCAGCCAGTCAGATGAAGATATAGAGAGAAGTGAGAATATCTTTCTTATCCAATCATTTTATAAATATGCCGATAGAAAGGGAAGGGCAGGAAGAAATTCTTGGCCTAAAATCCAAGAAGAATACCGAAAAAGCCGATTTGGACGCGCAATAAATCTTGGTACTCTAAGAATAAAGGTTTACAAGCTTATCAAGGACGAAAGATACGTAGATATCGTCAATGAATACAGAGGGACATCCAACGGATCTGCACCTGTTGTAAGCCAAAGCCAGGAAGAAGACGAAAGAGAAAGTACCTCAAATGTTCCAGACAACGGCGAGCAAACCAGTGACAGTAGAACTTGCGATAGTGAAATCACCAATAACCAAATAGGCCAAGAGGAAGGTGAGAGAACAAACGAAAGGGAAGATAGGGATTCATCAGAACTAGTAAGCCAACCAGATAAGGAAAAAGAAACAAATGAAGAGGCAAACAGCGATAACCCAGTAAACATAGAATTGCGGCTGAGAGTAACAAGGGCAATGGAGAAAGCGACAGAAGAATGCTCGAACAGACCAGTTAATGAGTGGACATCGACGTTCAAAATCCCATACGTAAAATATAAAAAGCATATTCTAGAGGAAATTAACAATTACATTGAGGAAAACCTAATGGGGAATCTGAACTTGGAAAAAATCAGCAAGATTATTTATGCAGCGCAAATGGCATATGAACAGTTAACCAAAAAGCCGCAAAGAGCGGGGGACTGGAAATATTCATTGAACAAATCAATCCAAGAGAAAGAAAATATGATGAAAATAATTGAAAAACGAATAGAATCTGGAAAAATGAACAGCAAAGAAAACCACATGGTAAAACAAGTAGCCAAGAAATATAGAAGCGACCCCAGGAAAATATCAGATTTAAAAATAGTTCAAGAAAAAATAAACCAAGAAATAAAAGTAATACAGAAAAGAATAGAGGTATCAGAAAAAAGAAGTGAATTTAATAAGACAAATTATATGTTTGAACTGAATAGGGGAGCATTTTACAGAAAATTAAAGCCACAAAAAGCAAATGAAGGCCCCATCAATGAAGAAGAGTTAACAAATTTCTGGTCCAAAACTTGGGCGAAGAATCAAGACCTCGATATTCCGGAATACCTCATCCAGAATATTGAGAAAACAAACAAACCTATCGAGCAAATAGAAATAACAAAAGAAGAATTCGAGGAAACATTGAAAAATTTGCCAAATTGGAAAGCAGGCGGTATAGATAAAATTTATAATTTCTTTATTAAAAATTGACCCCGCTACACGAAGATCTATATAAAGCCGTTGTTCAAGCTATAAGGAATCCAGAAACAATTCCAGATTGGATGTTTACTGCAAAAACCTTCTTGTTTCCTAAAGGAGGAGAGAACACCCCCAGCAACTACCGCCCCATAAGTTGCATGAGCAACCTGTACAAATTAATCACGCGGATATTATCTAGAAAGCTGAACAAATACATAGATAAGGAACGATATCTGTCTATCAATCAGATAGGAACGACGCAGCGAACTCAAGGCGCCAAGGAACAGGTCTTATTAAACAAAGCTATATGCAAAGAACACGCAAATAAACTGAAAACCATGTGGATCGACATAGCGAAAGCTTTTGACAGCATCGACCACAAATACTTGCTTAAGATATTGGAAACATCAAGAGTTCCAAAAGAAATTCAACAATTCGCAAAAATTGCCCTAGACAAATGGCAAGCACAGTTGTACTATGGCAAGCAGTGCCTCAAAACAGTGAAAATAGAAAGAGGAATATTGCAGGGAGATGGGCTATCACCTCTATTCTTCGTCATGTGCCTCGAGCCGATAACAAGGGAGCTCAACAAAGAAGACAGTCCCCAAGTGGAGATGAGAGTGGGAGAGGAAAAAATTAAAATAAATCACCTATTGTTTATAGACGACATAAAAATATTTTCCTATAGCGACAAGGATCTTGAGCTCTTAGCGAACAAGACAACTCAGCTTTTGAATAATATAGGCTTCAAAATCAACCCGACAAAAACAGCGACAAACTCCACAGAAATTCAGGAATTTGGGACACTGGCAGAAAAAGAAACATATAAATATTTAGGTGTTCTAGAGGATAACACCAGCGCAGTCGTCCCAGAAAATAAAGAGAGAATAAAAAGAGAAATAGTATCCAGAATGGAATCTTTAGCGGAAACCAAGCTGAACGCTAAAAACCTCTTCGCTGCTTTCAACGAATTTTCGCTCTCGCTCATAAACTACTACGTTGGAATCGTGGAGTTTAGTGAGCGAGAACTAGAAATGTTGGACCAAAAGGTGAGAACAACGCTGAGCAGATTCAAAATCCATCTTAAGCCAGCAAATAAAGAAAGATTATATCTTCAACGCGAAGAAATGGGAAGAGGATTGGTGAACTTGGTCCAAAAAAACGAAAGAATTCTGCTAAGCCTCTACAAGTATATATTTGGGGGGGAGACAACAAAAAGAAAGGAAGCCATTAAAGCGTGTGAACAGGGCGAAAACACAATGCTCACGCACATCCAACTATTTATAGAAAACAAGTACAAAATAGAAGCCCAAAACATCACAATGAAAACTCTGAAAGAAAAACAGATTGAAAATCTAAGAGAAATCATTGGCCAGAAAATAATCCACAGAACATTCTTTAAAAATGAAGACCAACCGCTATTGGACATGATAGAATCCTCACAGTGGCTCAAAACGGGAAACAACACACCACAAAATGAAGGATTCTACATGTTCATACAAGATAGAAACGTGTTCCCGAAGGATAAGAACCTGAAATGCCCTCACTGTGAAAAGGTACAAAGGACGGTGGACCACCTTGCTACAAACTGTGGAAGATTGCTTCCTTACGACTACACTGAGAGGCATAATGAAGTGGTGAGATGCGTCCACTTCAACTTGGCAAGAAAATATAATTTCACAGAGAACAAGAAGATAAAGCTCCACAAAATAACGACTAAGATTGAAAATTCATACGCCAAGATAATAACGGACCTGCCAATGATAACCGATATCAATATCAGAGCTAACAAACCTGATATAATAGTATATGACAAAATAAAAAAAGACATAACAATCATAGAGATAGGGGTTACCTCCCAAGACAATATCCAAACTACGGAGCTGACAAAGAAAAGAAAATACCAGCTACTGGCGAGGGAAATGGCCCAAACTGAAAAAATGCCCGTAAAAGTAGTGCCGATAGTCTTAACATGGGATGGAATAGTAACCAAATATAACAAACAATACAGGAAGGAAATAAACATAAGAAAAAGGGACTTTGCATATATTCAATCCCTGGTGCTAAAAAAGACGATGGAAATTATCTCAACAGAAAAGAAGAATGAACCTTACGATAAGTTACAGAGAAATAAAGAAATGGAAGCCATGGATAGATTGTTGGAACGATGTAGGGAGCTGGCATGTGATGACGAGGAAGGTGGAACACCGGACATGGAGCACAGGGATACGACGACCATAGAAGAGATCCAGGAGAACGACCTAGAGCAGATGACAGGAGACCTGACAGACAAGAATGGATCAAGGCCAGGGGACCCTCTTATCGAGGAGCCACTAGTAGAGGCCATAGAAAGACTGCTGGAGAGCTGCAGGACATCAGGGGACCATAACGGCAAGGGCCACAGCACTGACCAGGAGTCATGATAGCAAATGTAAATATCTTTGTTTACTTTTACTGTTGTCATTTATTGAAGTTGTAAATAAAAATATGTAAATAGACTGACCATTCGCTACACTTTTTAGAGAAAAACTTGTACCCTTTTGGAAAATAAATTTTATTATTATTATTATCCCTATATATAGTCACGACCGTCATGGGCGGGCGGGCGGTTCTGTCACGGATGTGCGCGCATCATCATTATGATCATTATCATTATCTAATGATAATAATAATAATAATTATTTTTATTACTTATATAATTGCCTTATTCTCTCTGTGTGAAGTTCACTGTGTGAAGTTCACGGATAGATTTTGGTCAGAATGGATAAAATAAAAAATAAAAAAATCGAACCCACGACCTTCCGCTTACCGGGACAGATGCCATGACCACTAGGCTACCCTGGACATATTTTTCCGTTCACATTTTTATTTTTATATTTTCAAGTCACACAGTTTGGGGCGGGACGTTTCACAAGAGAGACATCCACGGCGCCAATTTATAATTGTAACGAATAGTATTTAAATTAAAACATTTTAAAAATATATACGCACTCGGGTAAAACCCGGGCGTTGCCCGGGCCATTCGTCTAGTTATATATATAGTCACGACCGTCATGGGCCGGCCGGTTCTGTCACGGATGCGCGCGCACAGGGAGGTCACGTGCTCGCCGGCAGCCAACGGGCGCGCGCCGCCGGCATTACGTCATAGATTATAAACACAAGGTAATAAGGCCAAATAAAAAAATAGTGTGTGATAAGGCACAATTTGGATTATCTACTTATATAATTGCCTTATTCTCTCTGTGTGAAGTTCACTGTGTGAAGTTCACGGATAGATTTTGGTCAGAATGGATAAAATAAAAAAAGTGTCAAGGGATGGGAATCGAACCCACGACCTTCCGCTTACCGGGCAGATGCCATGACCACTAGGCTACCCTGGACATATTTTTCCGTTCACATTTTTATTTTTATATTTTCAAGACACACACAGTTTGGGGCGGGACGTTTTACAAGAGAGACATCCACGGCGCCAATTTATAATTGTAACGAATAGTATTTTAATTAAAACATTTTTAAAATATATACGCACTCGGGTAAAACCCGGGCGTTGCCCGGGCCATTCGTCTAGTAGATTATAAACACAAGGTAATAAGACCTAATCCAAATAAATAAATAGTGTGTGATAAGGCACAATTTGGATTATATTTAATACAGTTATCAGCGTCATGCACAATTCTGTCACGTTAAGTGTCAAGTTACGGTAAGTAGAAATTTAAAAATTAAAAAAAGATGCCGAAACCCGGGATCGAACCAGGGACCTTTAGATATTCAGTCTAACGCTCTCCTAACTGAGCTATTTCGGCTTATTTCATTTATTTCTATAGAAGCTTCTATCTTTATAATTATGTATATTTACAAAAAGTCAATTCGCTCGCGTCTCTAGCGGTGAAAATGAGGGGTAATACCAGTTGACCTAATGTACATGTAAAGTTTGGAGCGGGTGAAACAGTAGAAGTGAATAGCCTTAATATATATATTTCATTGAGAAAAAAGAAATAATTAATTATCAAATTCACAAAAGTGACAATATCTTATTTAAAATATAATAAATGTTTTCAAAAAAATTATGTGTGTGTTTCAAAAATATATTTAAACGCATATAACAATATTTATTTTTATATACGTTTATAAATCAACTAGACGAATGGCCCGGGCAACGCCCGGGTTTTATCAGAGTGCGTATATATTTTAAAAACGTTTTAATTCAAATACTATTCGTTACAATTATAAATTGGCGCGATGGATGTCACTCTTGTGAAACGTCGCGTTCCAAACTGTGTTTTTAAAACGTTTTAATTAAAATACTATTCGTTACAATTATAAATTGGCGCCGTGGATGTCTCTCTTGTGAAACGTCTCGCCCCAAACTGTGTGTGTCTTGAAAATATAAAAATAAAAATGTGAATTTTCATAAAGATTATATCATGTCGATTTTTTTTTTTTGCATTTCACCTACTAAATCGATAGAGATAATTACATTTGCAACATGAACTTAGGTATATTGACTAAATAGAAAACTGCATAGTAATAAAGATCATTTTTTAAAGGCACCATATCGTTTTTTTTTCAATAAAATCGAAACAAAAATTAACGATAAATAACGATAATTGCCTTAAAAAGAAATTGCCTTAAAAAAAGAAACATTCGCGGTGATTTTGTCTTGCATTCGTTTATACAATTATTATATACGAATGACCCGGGCAACGCCCGGGTTTTACCCGATTAAATGCTTTTGTTCAAATACTATTCGTTACAATTATAAATTGGCGCCGTGGATGTCATTCTTGTATAATATATAAATGAGTTTTAAAAATTGTAAAAAAAAAAAAAAATGCATCGGCCGGGAATCGAACCCGGGCCGCCCAGGTGGCAGGCGAGCATTCTACCACTGAACCACCGATGGTTATGAAAAATCCCATCCGTGAGCTTCAGACAAACAAACAGACAAACAAACAGACAGAATAAGGCAAATATATAAGTAGATACGAATGACCCGGGCAACGCCCGGGTTTTACCCGATTAAATGCTTTTATTCAAATACTATTCGTTACAATTATAAATTGGCGCCGTGGATGTCATTCTTGTATAATATATAAATGAGTTTTAAAAATTGTAAAAAAAAAAAAAATGCATCGGCCGGGAATCGAACCCGGGCCGCCCGCGTGGCAGGCGAGCATTCTACCACTGAACCACCGATGGTTATGAAAAATCCCATCCGTGAGCTTCAGACAAACAGACAGAATAAGGCAAATATATAAGTAGATATATAGGTGGATTGGATGTTTTCTAGAATCGTTTTAACAAATTTCGTTTGGCAAACTTTTACACGGATAAAAACTGTGCGAAGCCGGGTGCATTCGCTAAATACAGTTATTTACAAATTTTCGTTTGTGGCAAGATACTATTCCTTCAACTTCAAATTACCGAGTGGACCAATTAATACTGATTTTTTTCAACTTATCGAGTATTTTTCAAGGGACCGGGAAAAAATTATCGAGAGTGTAGACAAGTATAGATTCAGTAGGGATTGGATGTTTGCTAGAATCGTTTTAACAAATGTTTGTTAAGCAAACTTTTACTGGGTAAAAATCGGGCAAAGCCGGGAACATATATATATGTTTGTCGGCTATGCACGCCCTCAATATGTAACTAATCTCGCTGAAATTTGAACCGGACAGAGAGTTAAATCTGGAATAGTTTTTTTGTCGCACTTTAACTAAGAAAAATTATATTTAACCAAGTACTGAGCAACAATATTTTTTTAGTCAGAAATGATGATGACAATATTGTCGTATCATGCTTGATTGCATTAAAAAATTCTTTTGGGGAATATTCACTAAAGCAGACCACGGGCGAAGCCAGATAATGATTAATAGTAGGCAGGAACAAATTTCTACCAGCGAAACATTCACTCGAGCAGAAGACACACGAAGCGAGGTCATCTCTATATATAAAATATCGTTTCTCGGCCTTTTGGCTAAGATCATGTAGTATATCTCTAGATATTTTTATTTATGTATATCTTTTTAAAAATATTTGCTCGAAAAATAAATTTCATATATTATAAAAATATATGACGTAGCAAATTATATTATCATAATATTCTGCGTGTTCCCGAATGGCCCGGGCAACGCCTGGGTTTTACCCGACTGGACCCGGCTTCGCCTGGGTAGTGTTCGAGCGAGGTTTACTCATGAATGAATAGAGGCCCCAACTGTTTGTAAACTCAATGTAATGAATTTTCTTTCAGCAAAATGGAGATAAATTGCAAACAGCAATATAGAAAATGCTTGTAAAAAAATCTGAAATATAGGATCCATTTCACAAACACATCTAATGAATAGAGTGCTGTTTGGAGGAGTGGTCTAAACTGTTAATTTTTAAAAACCATGACCCGGGATCATCGAATGCAGATTCAGACACTTTGTTCTGAAAAAAAAAATTGCCCCAATGGCTCCTGATTCTTGAAAAATTCCAACCCCTCCAGTGAGTGCAAGTAACCAAACTGGGCTTTTATTCTTAAAAATTAAAAAAAAATCTAATGATTAGTGTGAATAAAGGAAAATGGTCGGCACAACCTGAAAATTTCACTTTGTCCACTTCACTCTCGGCTGTCCAAGAAGAAACAGCCAGAGCAAACATTTTAAAGGGCACCAAATCCGGCATTTACATATCTAAATAGTTAAGCAACTTTTATAAATGTAATATATTTCTGCAATATTGAAATACCTGGACTTGGAAGAATTTTGTATTATTTATTGTTGCAGTTTTAGAAAAGTGTGGGAAATTGGATATTTTAACAAAAGTGTTGGACCCCAGCGCTGCCACTCATGTATAACACGTGACCGGAAGGATGACGTCGGCACCCCCCCCCCCCCCCTTCCAACCGACTGTAAAAGTTTAGCCTGACAACGCTGTTGCTTGTTTACCGGAGGATGTAACCTCTTTGTTTCCTTTCTTTCCTTTTTAATCTTTATATAACCTATGCTTTAATAAATTAGTTAGTGCAAGGCTCTTGTCCTAAGTGTAACCAAGTACCTTGTCTACACCCCTACAAGAAAAGATTATGAGACTGATTGGAGCTGCCTGAAGCATTGAACGGTAAGCCTATTTTTGTTCTCTCTCCCCCCCTTCAGTGGACGCCATCTTATAATGGAAGCTAACGAAAGTTTAACGAAAATTACCAAGCTAAATGGATTAAACTAGTCCTCATGGAGCTTCCAAATTAAGCTCATTCTGATGGACAATGACTTATGGTCAATTGTTGACCCAGGCGAAGTCAAACCCGAGGGAGGGGATGTTGGTCTAATCAACAAATTTAATACGAGGCAGAATAAGGCTTTAGCAAAGATATGTCTCTCTATTGGTGAGGAGCAGCAAAACCATATCAGACATCTAAATTCCCCCAAAGAAGTTTGGGATGAATTACAAAGACTTTATGCACCCAGGGATAGCAAACACAGAATTCTCCAACTGCGTCGAAAGTTGTACTCCCAGAAATTCTGTCAACATGCGAACATGGATGCCTATTTGGGAAGCATAAATCTAATAGTGAGTGAACTCACAGGTGTAGGGGATAAAATTGAAGACGGTGATCTAAGCATGCTAATTCTTTGTGGAATGCCCGAGGACTGGGATAATGTTATATCAACAATATGTAACTTACCAGAGTCAGAGTTCACCAGTGCCAACATCAGACGTAAATTGTTAGCTGAGGCAGAGCGCCGGTATGCTACAACAAATGAAGGGATGGGCGCACTGTCAGTCAGGAACTCTAACAAGAAACAATTCCCTCATGAACATCAAGGTTCTAAAACTGTTAGAAAATGTTTCGGATGTG